CACACACACACACACACACACACACACACACACACACACACACACACACACACACACACACACACACACACACACACACACACACACACACTAATGCAACAACAATAAGAAAAAACACCAAACACTTTGCGCATTATTTCCCTTTACGCACAGATTACATCCACTCTGTTTGCATCTCTGCCTCAAACCTGCACTTGTACCGTTTTTCAAATAATCCATCGTCACTGACAGACACACAACAACACAACACACACAACCGTGTTTCTAATGCAGCAACGAAGCCTCACACCAACTGTTCATCGATAATGTTGATGTTCTACTGTCTTTACAAAGGTGTGAGCTCGTCCTGGTCGGACACACACACACACACACACACACACACACACACACACACACTGATCAATAGACACTAAACTCCAAAACCTGTGTAAGTACAAATATCTGATGTGAGTCTCAGTGAATATTATGATAATAATAATATCATGAACATTAGTATTCATTCATTTTAAGCCTTTTTTAAAATTAATTTCCCCCTTTTTAGGATTTTCATGAACAAAAACAAAGAGATTTGCTTCGTGATTTCTATTTATAATCTTTATTTTTTCCATGTAGATTATTTTTTATCTATTTAAGCAACGAAATAAAGCGCAGTGTTGATTAAAATCTTAAATTCGTTGCAGTGATTCAAATAAATTAGACAGAAAAAATAAATGTTTCTTTGGCATCAGACCAGAAAAACTGAGTAGTCCTTATTTCACCTTTGATAATCTGGTTCTCTGGGTAAAGTTGGGTTTTATTTCAGATGACTCGCTGTAGAAACACTTTCAAACTGTGAAATCCTCATTATTTGATCTGGAACGAACAGAACCGGCGCCGCCTCTGGACCAGGCCGCAGCTCCTGCAGCCTCACGAGGCTCAAACACACAAAACTAAACTAACTCCACTGAAACAAACGTGATTTAATATTCACAATAAAAAGAAATCTGATTTATTTCACAGGATGCGTCAGATGAGACACAGACAAGCTCCAGAAATCCTGCAAAACCTTGAATCTGAACATTATTATTACTCATTTCTATTTGTATTAAACACAAGGTCAGTAATTATATTAATATACAAACTGGGAAATCAAATAAAGGCGGAAAAGCTCGACGAGGAGACACCGCCGTGCTTTCAACATAAAACACCTCTGACGTGGTTTTTCAGAATAAAACCGACGAAATGAAATAATGTCAAATATCATCAGATGTTTGAAACAGTTTAAAATGTAGAAGATGTTTTTTTTAAACCGTGTCTCAGGTGCGTTAGGCCTCGGGACCACCACCACCACCACCACCATCAGGCCTGGAAACCAGAAACCATCACATCACATCCAGAGTCCACATCAGGCCTCAAACCCTCAACATCTGTCTGCTCACAACATCTGTCTGCTCACAACATCTGTCTGCTCACAACATCTTTCTGTTTTCACTCGTTTCAGGTCGAATCCTGCTTCAGCAGCTTCTCTCTGGTTCTACGCAGACTGAGCAGCAGTGGTTTGTGAATCGCTCACACCAACGCAACACAGAGGAAGACGCAGCGGGACGGTTTGTGGATAATCGACATTTTTCTGTGCGCCAGTCTTTCTCTCATTTGCAGACAGAAAGCCCCGGACACACGGTGACAGTTCGGGCAGAGCAGAGCTGCAGCGGCGCTTGAGCTCAGTTCATCGCCGCCGCATGAGACACACGGTGCTCTTACCTTTTGTTGATAATCCATCATGTCCGGTGTGAGGCTGCCCACTCCCGAGTCCTCCCGGCCTCCTCTCCCCCTGCAGATCCGCCACTTGGCTCAGGTGATTTCATCCAAGTAATCACGCCACCGTCCAGGAGCGTGACGCTGCCTCATTTTTACTCACACACAGCAACACAAAGTGCGGGCACATCAACATGGCGACGCGCACAGCCTCCATCATGGAACGTTACGCACCTTTTTACTCAGCCGCCACAACCAACACGCGCGTAATGCAAATACAAACGAGTCGAGAAAAGGTTGTGTTACGAGTGTTAAGTGGATGAGCGGTGGAAAACAGCAGCTGCGATACAACCTCATGGGAAATAAGTTCCCATTCCTGCTGTCCACATGACCGCCGGCAGCCAATCCTGGAGCCGGGCGAGTCGTAAACTTCCAAGGCAAAGTTGTAAATTTTCATAAACAGCAGCCGGTGTTGTGCTCAGGACATTCTGTCTCACCGCCATGTTTTTCTCCGAGGCCTGAAATGTTTCTGCCCGACGCTGCGTAAAAAGGGAAAGTGTGAGGATGTGGGAGGATTGGATGAGATTGGATGAGTTTGGATGAGTTTGGATGAGATTGGATGAGATTGGATGAGGTGTGTGGGTTCTGTTGCAGCCTCCTGGTTTGAAGGTGACTGAACGAGGTCTGTGCGTCTTCTTATTGTTTCTGTAATCTGAAGATAAAATCCCCAAAACAGTTCCAGTGTTATTATATCAGATCATTTCATCTTTAACCCTCGTTAATCCCAAACCTCCACTGTTTCGTTCTCATCTCCAATACGAACGAAAACAGTGGAAAATAATCTCAAAACCTCGAAAGATTTTCTTTTTGTTCTCAAATGATTTGAAATCAGGATGAAATGTTTCCACATTAAAATCTTGAAAATCAACGAATTCCTTCACATCGATTTGATTGTTGATCATTTAGACCAGAGATGGAACAAAACCTCCAACTTTTCTACTTTAATCTTAAAGCAATTAAAAGAAATGAATCTTTAGTGTTTGTTTCTAAACGTGTATTTCCGTTTTGCTTTGTTTGAAATGATTCTTTTCTGCGGGAGATTTCCGACATTTATAGACGCAATAAAACCATAAATCCCTTCAACACAACACACAACCCCTGAACTTTGATTTTTTTTTCACCCTCAAGACACAAAAACCCAAAGTGTCATTTCTTCAAAATGTATATTTGTGGATTTTTTCAAACTAAACTTTAAAGGGATAAAAATAAAACTAATAATAATAATAATTCTTCCTGAAGCTATAACATTTTCTCTGTTTTTTCTTCAGCCATTTCTGTGATATTTCAATCCTGAAAATCAAAAATCAAAAACGAAAACCTCCAGTGCTCAGTAGATATTTAATTCAGGCTCTTTTGATTCAAATCAAACGTTTTATAAACCGAGGACGCTTCATTAGACATTTGAGTCTTTTTGTGGCCTTTCTGCTTCTTTTCAAAAATATAAATTCACATGTGAGAATAATAATAATTATCATTTTAATTTGTTAGTGTGAAGTGTTAAAAACGACCTTCACAGGACGTGTGGGCTTGAATCTCATCATTTCAACATCATGTATTGTTGAAGCTGTAAAACTATAATCTCTTTAACTCAAAGTGAAAAGTCCAGAGATGAAACAGGAGCAAAGATATTTTTAAAACATTAATTTACAACTTTGCAATAAATGAAATAAGGGAGAAGTTCAAATAAAATATGAAAACCTAAATAATAATAATAAAAATATTCCTTTGAACTGCAATTGTTTTTCTCAGATAAAAAAAATATATATTTTATTGATCATCAGTGCAAATAATTATTTTTGATACTCGACAGCACAAATTCCACTGAGAGGAAAAGCAACAGGCCGTAAATCATAACATGCTTCAGATCAGATGAGTGTTTTTAAATGAAATCTTATAATTAATTAATAGTCTGATTTGGCCAAACAGTCAATTACATTTCATTAGATTTCACTGAAGCTCAAATTAAAACCCGATGATCAGTGAGTTTCTGGTATTTCTCAGAGGAAATGTGCAGATCTGAATCACACACTGTGTTAAATGAGGCTTGTGCGCTTTTATTTTGGCACTGACGGTGAAGTTTGTTCCTCCTCACATTTCTGAGCAAACGCACACAAACACACACAAACACACAAACACACAAACGCACACTGGTAGAAAATGTAAAAAAAAAAAAAAAGCCATAACTTTGTTTCTGCTGTGCTGCAGGTGATGCTGTGAGGCGGCGAGAGGCGTAAACTGCAGGAGTCCAGAAATAAAATCTGCAAACGAGACACATTCATCATCGGCACAGTGAGTTTTGTGTATCATCACAGTTTAAGGCCCCTCTACCTCTGCTCTCCTCACGTCCTGCTCGTGCTAAATGGATTTACATGTGGAGGCGGCGTCAGTCCCGGAGTTCAGCAGGCCGTGGCCCCTGCTCCTCACTGCCCTTTACCGTGCTGGGGGCCCCGGGCGTGAGAGAAGCCAGGCCTCCTGACCAGTGGGGCTCTGGAGATCACGAGCAGGCTCTGCAGGGCAGCTGGGGGGTTTACGGTCGACACGCTGAGGAGCCGGGTGTCGGAGAAGGAGCTTCTCCTGCTCTCCTGCCACACGTCCAGAGATCTGCCGACTGACGGAACACAGAGCGAGAAAGTGTGAAACCGTGGATCAAGACGAGTCAAATGTGTTTTCTGTTGTTTTTAATATTAAATGTGTTTAATAATGCTGCTCTGTGGAAACTGGGAATATTACACAAATGTATCACAACTCTTTTATTATTAAACGAGAGGAAACAGTGCAACACTGATGAGCTGAAATTAAAAGAGCAGACTAATTATCGAGGTTGTTATGTTCATCCTCGAAGTGAGGGAACGATTTTAATATTTTTCATGTACAACATTCAGTCCTGTTTTCTCCTGCACCTTTAATACACCTTTGCACCTTTAGTTTTTATATTTCAAACACAAAAATAACAATTAGAGAGGAGAAGAGGATTTTTATTGAAGTCCCGTCTAAAGAGGTGTTTGTGGTTCGGAGGTGATTTCTGCCTCATCCCAGAATGCATTGTGTGGACATGTGTTTACCTGACCAGTGTATCCGCTGGGTGCTGATGGTGCTGTGTACCTCTCCCGCTCTGTTGTGGCTCTCGAGCTCGTGCAGCGGGCACACGGACTCGTTCAGGCCCCTCTGATCCATCGGGGGCCTGAGCAAACGCTGCTGGGTCACGTGGATGAGCTGCAGCAGTGATATGTCATTTTAATATCATCAGATATTAATATATTAAGGCAATTATTAATGCTTTTAAATATTTGTATCCATGGAGCTGCTTTAAATGAACTGTGATCTTTTAATATTCACATCGGAATATTTCTTGAATTCAACAATTTTACATTTGAAAACATTTCTATTGCCCATAATCCAAAATGTAAAGCTCAAATAAAATCAGGTGTAAATAAGCAGCCTGCCGATTGATTAATTAGTGGAAAGAAAATTATTCTGCAACTGTTTAATTTTTTTTTTAAAGCAAGAATGAATATTCTCAGTTTCCAGCCTCAGATACGTTGCTGGATTGTATTTGTCATTCGGAACAATACAATAATATATTTAATACAAACGCAAATTACATTTTGTTCAAGTGTTTGAACGCATTTTACTTATTGATTGAAAATCTGATTCATCCAAAAATGAATAATCATCAGCTGCAGCTTCAAATGAGAAAATTCAAAACTGATGAAAATAATTCAAACTAACTAAAATAATAGAAATCTTCATTTTCTTTCTATAAAGAGAAGTATGGACGGTTAAAGTCACAACATAACATGAGGTTTTTAAAGGTTGGATTTCTGTGATATTTCTGTTTTCTTTAAAAGGAGAAAACAGCTCATGTTCCTGATTTCTTTAAATAAACCTGATCTAGAATATCAGCTTCATGAAAATGAGTTGATGTTCGTTTGTCAGTGAATCAGCTGGATTACTCAAAAACCATGGGGGGGGGCGTGACCCGAGGAAGAACTCATTCAATTTCGGAGAGGATCCGGATAAATGGGCGGATCCAGGGTATTTTTTTTCTCCACTTTATTTAAAATGCTGAGATGGAGCATTTGCCTTGGTGGAGTTATGAGCTGCTAGTTTTGATTGGACTGGTGTCCCTGGTCGTGTACCTGCTGTGAGGTCTGAGCGCAGGGCGGCTGCTGCTGCTGCTGCTGCTGCTGCTGCTTCGTCCTTTGGGGAAACTGCGTCAAAGGGTCCAACTGATGTTAAAAAAAAACAAAGACAGTTAAGTGAATGAAGTGAAAATCTTCCTGTCGTCTGACGCACGAGCAGAATTCAGCTCTAACCTTCGTCTCCTGTCGTCTCGGCTGCTTCCTCGGCCGCTGGGAGTCTTTCCCTGCCTGAGTCCGGCCCTGCAGCAGCTGCTGGATCTGCTCCACCACCCCCAGGTCCTGCAGTAGTTTCTTCCTCTGCAGAAGTGCATCAACCCGCTGCTGCTCCTCCACGTCTGCTGCCGCCTCCTCCTCCTCCTCCTTCTCTGCCTGGACGTCTGCAGCTTCAGGATCCTCCGACACTCTGGGTAGAAGAGGCTGAACGGAAACAAAGAACCTTGTGATTCAATTTGTTTTTATGGCCTTACTCTATATGGAACCACAAGTATTAGATTCCCGATATATTAGCAGTTACTGTCACTGAATAACATGGATGACTGTGTTAGTTTTTCTGGTCTTGACAACAAAGCATATTTGTAATAAAAGTTATCAGCAGGAATATTATTGTGGTTAATTCTAAATGTGGTTCAAACACATTAACTGTGAGATGGGGTCAGGCAGAATATGAACCATCCATCACAGGGCAGAAGCTGTTTGCCTCCCTCTTGTGGTTTCATGTGGAAACTGGATCCTCACCGGCCGCGGGTCGCAGTGTGAGACGGGGGCTTGTGTCTGTGCTCGTCGAGGTTTGACTCTCTCCCCCGCCGTCTCCCCCTGCAAGTCTCTCCTCCGACCCCCCCTCTGGTCTCTCTCCTTCTGCTCCTGCTTCAGACGCAGCTCCTGCAGTTGTTGCCTAAACACAGAGTGGGTAACTTTTTATTGATCTGTTTAGAACTATTTAAAAATAAAAGGTTTGGAACTCACTGGTTAGTTATAAACTATTATTTTCAACTGTTTAACGACGTACGAGATCTTTCTACGTTTAAGTATATTTCCTTTATTATCTGTTTAAACAGCAGCCGCCACTTGTAGGTGCTTATAGGAAGAGTTACTGTTGTTAACAAATACATACACACTTATATTTTCTTGTCTGTTTTATATTCTGTCTAAAAAATGCAAAACAAAAGTGGCATAATGATTTATTGATTTGCAAATAGTCTTATTCTATTCTCTATATCTATTAAATCCCAAACTCTAAATATTTGCAAATGTAATTGCATCGTAAAAACCTTATTTTCTTAAAACAAAAAGACAGAGTGAGTGCACACGATGACCTTGTTAATGAGTTGTGACCGCACCAGTAGTTCTCCGTCAAGCAGCTAATTGATCAGCCCGGTTGTAA